AGAGAGAGAGAGAGAGAGAGAGAGAGAGAGAGAGAGAGAGAGAGAGAATTTTAAATCATAACTGGGCTCAGACACATCTTTATTAATCAAAGTAGGAACCATTAATCAACACATTTTTGCCAGCAAGAAATAAGTTTGTTTATTCCTGTAACATAAAATCTGTGCTTTGGGATTTGATGAACTCTTGGAAAGCATTTTCTGCATCCTGCTGGTTGTGGAAGCATTTTCTTTGCAAAAAGTTTTCGAGATGCTTCAGGTAGTGGTAGTTAGTTGGCAAGAGGTCAGGAGAACATGGTGAATGAGACAAAACTTTGTAGCCCAATTCGTTGAACTTTTGAAGCATTTGTTGTGTGATGTGTGGTCGGGCATTGTTGTGAAAAAGAATTGGGCTTTTTCTGTTGACCAGTCCCCACTCCAGGCTTTGCAGTTTTTGATGCATCTCATTGATTTACTGAGCATATTTCTCAGATGTAACGGTTTTGCCAGGATTCAGAAAGCTGTATTGGATCAAACTGGCACCAGACTACCAGTCACCATGACCTTTTTTTGGTCAGCACGTTTGGCTGTGGGAAGTACTTTGGAGCTTCTTCTTGGTTCAACCACTAAGCTGGTCATTGCCAGTTGTCATATAAAATCCACTTTTTGTTGCACATAACAATTCGATTGAGAAATGGTTCATTGTTGCTGTATAGAATAAGAGAAGATGACACTTCAAAATGGTGATTTTTTTTGAGACAGAATATTGCTCTGTCACTCAGGCTGGATGATCTCAGCTCACTACAACCTCTGCCTCCCTGGTTTAAGCAAGTCTCAGCCTCCCGAGTAGCTGGGTCTACAGGTGCATGCAGCCATGCCCAGCTAGTTTTTTCTATTTTAGTAGAGATGGAGTTTCACCATGTTGCCCAGGCTGGTTTCAAACTCCTGAGCTTAGGCAATCTGCCCACCTTGGCATCCCAAAGTGCTGGGATTACAGGTGTGAGCCACTGTGCCTGGCCGAAAATGATGATTTTTAAAATTTTCACTCAGCTCATGAGGCACCCACTTAGGGAGTTTTTCCTCCTTTCCATTTTGCTTCAAATGCCAAATGACCATAGAATGATTGACATTGAGTTCTTCGGCAACCTTTTAGGTAGTTTTAAGAGGATCTGCTTCAATGATTGCCTTCAGTTGGTCGTCGTCAACTTCCAATGGCCGGCTACTATGTTCCTCATCTCCAAAGCTCTCATCTCCTTTGCAAAACTTCTTGAACCACCACTGCATTGTGTGTTAGTTAGCACAGACATGCATTGTGGATGTTGTGATTGTCTCCACTGTTTCATGACCCATTTTGAACTGGAATAAGAAAATTGCTTGAGGCCAGGTGCAGTTGCTGACTCCTGTAATCCCTCAGCCCTTTGGGAGGCTGAGGTGGGCGGATCACTTGAGGTCAGGAGTTTGAGACCAGCCTGACCAACATGGTGAAACCCTGTCTCTACTAAAAATACAAAATTAGTTGGGCGTGTTGCTGCACGCCTGTAGTCCTAGCTGCTCGGGAGGCTGAGGTATGAGAATTGCTTGAGCCCAGGAGGCGGAGGTTGCAGTGAGCCGAGATCATGCCACTGTACTCCAGCCTGGGTGACAAAGCAAAACTCCATCTAAGCGGTGGGGTGGGGAGATATGTGACATAATCACATTTATTTAAGAATGTATTCTGATATCAAATGGCAAATTCCAACAATGCAGAAACCATAATTACTTTTGCACTCATCTAATACAATGTAGAGTGGAGTAATTACAAAGACTGTGTGACCTCCAGAGCCTAAAATACTTATCTGTCTCTTTATGGAAAAAGTTTTCCAGACCCTGGTATAGGCACTCTTAGCAGCCCACCTAGGTTCAAGGAGAGTGGGCTCCACTTCTTAATGCGGGAGTGTCAAGGTTTGGAAGAGTGTGTGGAAGTAGAAATATTATTGGAGCTATATCTGCCATAAGGAATGAATAGTCATGTGGATGCCAAGGGGAAGAGAGTTGCTGGGAAAGATGAGAGCAGATTTTGTTGGGAGAATTTGGGGTGTGTTCGTAGAACAGTAATGTGCCATTGTTGCTGGAGCAGAGTGGGCGAGTTAGAGAGTACAAGATGAAGGCAGAGAGGTTGCTGGGGGCTGAGTCATGCAGGGCTTCCTTACAGGCCATTATAAAGACATCAGCTTTTAGTGAGATGAGAGTCCATTGGAGAATTTTGGGAAGAGTAACAAGTTGTAATATATTTTTTGAGGATGCCTTGGCTGTTATATGGGAAATAGATTATGGGGACAAGGGCAGAAGCAGAGAGATCGGCTGTTATATCCAGACAAGAGAAGAGGGTGGCCTAGATTAGAGTGGTAAGAGTAAAGATTGAAGCAATTACTTTCTGATTCAGGAGGCTGAGGCGGGACGATTGCTTTTACCCAGGAGTTTGAGGCTCCAGTAAACTGTGATTGTACCACTATAGTTCATCCTAAGTGATAGAGCAAGACCCCGTCTCTAAAAAGAAATAAATAAAAAAGAAGCAGCAGCAGCAGTTGATTTCTGCATATATTTTTGAAGATAGAATTGGTAATATTTGCTGATGGATTGGATAATGGGGTAAGTAAGGAAGAGAGGAAGAAGTTAAAGATGACTCCAAGGTTTTTGTCTTGGGCAAATGAGATGGATGGAATTACAGAAAAGACTGATAAAAGGAGAAACAGATTTGGAGGAGGAAATCAGAACTTCAGTTTGGGACGTGGTAGGTTTGAATTGCCTATTTCACATGTTGATGGGATTGTCAAGTAGTTTCTCATTTAAGAGTCAGATTCATGAGATTGTAGATTTGGGAGTTAGCAGAGTATATTTAAAATCATGGAAGAAGTTGCTCCAGAAACGAACTTGGATAGAAAAGAAACCTAAAATGTGGTGGCACAATCATTACATGAGTTTCAAAGCCAAGAGTTTTTAGGGAGAATGGAAGGACCACAATCTGAAATGGCTGTGAGGAGCAGTTAGTACACCCACCTGCCTTCATGCTTAATGACAGTTGTGTTGCGTTAATCCTAGGCTACCATCAAGATTTCGTTTTTAAGCAGTGGGAACCCAAAAATCTTAACACTGAAAGAATTCTACTCTACAAAATAAATGAAAGTGGAATGTGCATAGGGGAAGGAAGGACACTGGCCCTCTTAGCTTCCTCCTCTAGCCTCTCACCCCCTTCCATGGCCCCGGGACATTCCTGCTGCCTCCTTGGAACCCCTTTGAAAACCACTCCCTTCAGTGTTCCAAGATGGATGTGCTAAGAGGCACATCTAATTCTGCTCCTCTCCTAAAAACCCTTTAGAGGTTTCCCATTGTCCTCTCCACAGTTCTAACATAGCCTACCAAGGCCCTTGATGGGCTAACCTCTGATGATTTCTCTTGCTTTCTCTTAGGTCCGCCCACCTTGCATTCTATGCCCCACCCATACTAACCTGTTTCAGTTCCTCAAACTTTTCTGGGCTTTTGCACATGTTGTCCTCTCTGACTAGAATATTTATCTACTAAGACAGTTACTCATCCTGAGGTTTTAATTTGGGCTTCATTTTTTCCTGATAGCTCCCACTTTTCTAATGTGTATCTTCCTACTGTTATATATTTTTCCCATAGCAACCCTTATTTACCCTATCATAGCATTTCCCTTACTTTATAGTTTATATGATTTTTAAAACTCATCTGTTATCCTCACTGGACCGGAAACACCATAGGAGCATGGGCCATGTCTGTCCTTCCCACCGTTGTATCACAGATCCCCTCTCATAAAAGGCACTTAATACATGTTTTTTGATAGTTTGAATAAAGGAAGGAAGGAAGGAATTGTGTTTTCTTAATAATGTGGGGATGTGGGAGACAGTCTAAATTTTGTAACATATCAGTTATTAAATATGGAAAAAACTAGAAAGTAATATATGGTTAAATTATTTCTATGTAAAAAGCATATTACAATATAAAAGTAGAAATATCTAAATATGAATAATGATTATTAGGGTGGTTGAATTAAGTCCTGTTTTCCTTAGTATGTTTCAACTTTTCTGTAATTTCATTTCTGTTATTTAAAATGCTTTAAAGAATCCATTCTAATTTTCTGTGCATTTTTAAGTATCTTAAATATAGCATCTTTAGTTCCTCTGGGTAATTTTGTTCCCAAATTTGACTCAATCCTGGGTAGTTCCCAAAAACTAGAGCACAATCTCTACTAGAAGTAATCTCAAATGCCTTGTTTCTGTACTTCTGCTTTAGCAGATCAAAAAGCTTTCGATTTCTGAAGCTTCTTTTCTTGGATAAAATAACATACTATTAAAAATAGCAAAGATGATACTGTTGTTTTTATTATTCCTTGTTTAACTTATTAAATGAGCCTTTTCCTATTTCTCAGCTCTCCTGAAACATTTTCATCATTAATACAAAAATAGTACTTAAGTATTAAATATTTGTGAAGTGCTTTTGCATACTCTATCTTCAAGTCCTTGATGGAGCAGCTATTGTAGATAAAGGAACTGAGCTCACAGAAGTTACATAGCTTGCTGAAGGCCACAGCCTTAGAGGTTTACTCTGGGACTAAATCAGTGATTGTCTTGTTCTTAGTAAAGCTTCCTGCATGTAATATCACACAGTAAAATTTTTTCCCTTGTATATATTCTTTTTAAGAATAATTTTATTTACATGTATTTGAGGAACTTACAATGTATTTCTAATTTAAGGCTATTGCCACTGTTAAATCTGGATAAAACCTGTCTTTTTGAATCCTGTTGTGTTAAAAAGCATTTGTTTCTGGCTTGAAGTTATCTGTGTACTGCATTCTGATGCATTTTTTTTGTTTGTTTCTTGCAGTTGTGCATGCCTAAAGGGCTATCTTTCAGGACACAAACTGACAATAAAGATCCCCAGTTTCACTCATTTATAATTACCAGGGAAGACGGTTCTCGCACTTATGGTTTTGTTCTCACTTTTTATGAAGAAGTTACAAGTAAGCAAATCTGCACAGCAATGCAGACACTCTACCAGATGCACAATGCTGAGCATTACAGCAGCGTGTATGCTTCATCTTCCTGCAGCATGGACTCATTGGCAAGTAGCCTTGATGAAGGAGATACAACTTCCCTTTTGAAACTCCAGCGATACAACTCCTATGATATCAGCAGAGACACCCTGTATGTTTCAAAAAGTATATGCTTGATCACACCGTTACCATTCATGCAGGCCTGCAAGAAATTCCTTATCCAGCTTTACAAGGCTGTTACCTCGCAGCAGCCACCACCCTTGCCACTTGAAAGCTATATCCATAATATTCTTTATGAAGTACCCCTTCCACCTCCAGGGAGGTCACTGAAATTTTATGGTGTTTATGAACCTGTCGTCTGCCAGAGGCCTGGGCCCAGTGAGCTCCCCCTCTCTGATTACCCACTTCGGGAGGCATTTGAACTCCTGGGATTAGAGAACCTGGTGCAGGTGTTTACCTGTGTTCTTTTAGAGATGCAAATCCTTCTCTACTCACAAGGTAGGTCTTCCTTGGATTTTACATTTTCCAAAAAGAAATACTTATGCTCCCAACTACTGTGTTTCCATGGGATATATTACTAGGACCAAATAAATAATGATCACGGTCTTTTCTGTTTTGTATAAAGGAAGCAGGTATGGTGGGACCAAAGGCTGAGATGAGACTGTGCTGTTTCTCTTTGAGGTGGCAGTTAGTGACTGCAGAGAGAAATAGGAAGGAACACAAATGTTAACTTGGCTGATTTGGGTATGTTTATTTCTTAATGGAAATAGCCCTTTTTTCTTGACAATATATAATTTTCATTAAGAAAACATTATTTTGGGTGGGCGCGGTGGCTCATACCTGTAATCCCAGCACTTTGGGATGCTCAGGTGGGTGGATCACAAGGTCAGGAGATAGAGACCATCCTGACTAACACAGTGAAACCCCGTCTCTACTAAGAATACAAAAAATTACCCAGGTGTGGTAGCATGCACCTGTAGACCCAGCTACTAAGGAGGCTGAGGCAGGATAATTATTTGAACCCAGGAGGTGGAAGTTGCAGTGAGCCGAGATCGTGCCACTGCACTCCAGCCTGGGCAACAGAGTGAGAATCTGTCTCAAAAAAAAAAAAGAAAAAAAAAA